GCATCTTAATTTTTATTTTAAATTTTTCTTTTTTTAAAAGTTGTTATCCAAACATCTAAAATTTTCAAAAGGACTTTTATTTTTAAAAAAAGCAACTTTTTAGGGAATAAAAGCTCATTCAAACGGGCACGTAATTGGTTACCGTTGAATTAAACATTACAAGAAATCTGGTATACAGAGGCAGTTATTTTAGGAATTTGGGGTGGTTAAAACCGCCTCTAAATACTTGGGTCAGCGGTTCATGAACCGCCTCATTTACCACCATAGGGAGGCAAAATGCGGTGGTTTTCACAAACCGTTGAAATAACCTCCTCCAAATATGTTAATCTAAGACAGTTATTTTAACCGCCTCCAAAATATATTCTGAGAAATAATGTGTGACCGCCTTCAAAAAAGCAGTCCAAATACCATAAATATTTACATCCCAATATTTATAAATTACCTTTATATTTTGTTTAAATAAAAAAATAAAGATAAAAAAGTATAAATTAAAATATATTTCTTATCTTATTTAAAAATAATATAATAAGAATAATATAAGATTATAAATAATAGTGTACTTGTATTCAAGTGCAGGTGTGTGTTAGTGTGAGTTCTCATATAGAAGGGAATGGAGAAGAAGGAGCAAATGTCTTCCAATGTGTGACTTTAAAGTGAAAGTAAGATGATTTTTTTTTAGTGTGCAACAACCATTTTTGAAAATTTATATATAACACTATATGATTCAATTTAAGAATCTGAACGGTCAAATTAAAGTATTACAAGATAAGAACACCGATCAAATTTGAGGACAACCCAACGGCTGAACAAAGAGATCTCTGTCTTTGAATCTCATTGTCCAACAGGCCATGAACCACTTCTAAATGTGCTTTGGAGGCGGTTACATTAAAATCGCATCTAATTGCTACATTTAGAGGTGGTTATTTTAACCGACTCTAGTATCTTTTTGGAGGTGATTTCACGTTAACTGCCTCGAATCAATTTAAGCACCGGGAGAACAACCTTTATGTGTCAATTGGAGGCGGTTTAAGGGTAACCGCCTTAGTTAAACCGCCTCCAAATACCAGTTTTTTTGTAGTGAATTTAAAATTAACGGTAGTTAATTTTTCCTTTTTTCAACCGTTAATTTCAAATTGATCTAACGGTAACTAATCATGTATTAAGAGTAGTAAAGCTAAAATGATAGTAGGTATAACATTATATATATATAGGGACATGATCCGTTTACAAACTTTTTTTGCAATTACACTAATGTAGGACCGGTCGTACACTGTGTGATTAATGTAGGACCGGCCCTACATAGTGTAGTTTGTAAACAAAAAAGTTTGTAAATATAACCTGCCCCATATATATATATATATATATATATATATATATATATATATATATATATATATGGAGGGTTATATTTACAAACTTTTTGTTTATAAACTATTACAAACTACACTATATACTCCCGAAAATACACTAGGTTACATTATGTACTTCGACTACTAGAAAAGTCCAAATATATAAAGTATATATTTTCTAGGAATATATAAAGTATATATTTTTCGGGAATATATAAAGTAATTTGCAAAAATTTATAAACAGATCTTTTCCCTATATATATATATATATATATATATTCCATCAACCTTACCATTAACGTCACCTTAACCATAACGGCGGAGCCATATTGAGACGAGCCAGTGGCTTGGTTTTCAGAAATGATTCACTGTCCATTGTAATCTTGGTAGGGATAAACACAAGAAATTTCCTGGGCACTGGCTTGGTTTCAAAAAATGATTGTGAGAAAGGTTTTCAAGTCTTGTTCTTCTTTTGCTAAAGATTCGAACTTTACAGAGAGTTATAAAAAGGGATATAATAAGTTTTGAGAAAATTTGAGTAGTTAGCTAAGAGAAAGAATGGTGCTGTGAACCCGGTGGCTCAGTTGGTAGCATGAGGACTGAGTGGTGGGAGAGGACCTCAGTCCGAATCCCACCAACACCATTTGGGGAGGGACATAAGTACTGTAATCCTTAGACTCGCACTCGAATTCTGGATTAGTCTCATAGACGGCTCAAAGAGTCGAACCCGTAGAGATACCGAGAGTTCTGATTCGCCTCAAAGAGATAATTAGAATCAGTTTCAAAAAAAAAAGTGATGCTATGGGGGGTTTGTCGGGGTAGATGGTAGGAGAAGATGGACAATTTCATGGGACACGTGGCATTCATGTGAGTATATTGTTGTGTGTTGGTTTCCTTAATTTTCCTATTTGTTTCTGGGCTAGGCTCCCACTTTTCATCAAAAAATTAAAATTTAAGAAACTTTAGATTTTCTATGAGCTTATCTACCACTTTGTCGGTAATAAGAATTTTTTAATATTGTAAATTGTAGTTTGTAAAAGAATTATTAAGAAATCAAGATAATGATACCAAATTATGTCTAATAATTTCTTTTTTTACTTATTTTAAGAATTGAATTTTTGTTCTCTTTTCTTTTTTTATATTATAATATTCTTTCTTCTTTCTAGTATTTAATTGATTACTTGGCCGAACAAGAAAAATAATAAAAATTTGGTTATTAATTTTTTTTTGGCACTACCTGATTATTTCGCGTGGCTCCGCCACTTTTTCTTATTGAACTTAACTGAACCTTGGTTAAAACTTTATTACGAAATGCAATTTCTGAAAAGTTCAACCGCCATAAGTTGTTCTTTCTTTTGTATTTTTGTACATAGCTAATAACTAAGTAAAAAGTTGCCCATATTTTTGATGAAATAATTGCAATTCGCAGACAACACCGAAAAATTCAGGTTTCAATTTGTTTGATTCCCAGTTTTTATCATAATTTACTGAAACGATTACTGTATATTGATAAAAACTTTAACGGCATCAAGTTTTATGATGTGAAGGTTGCTAGCGACCTTTATTAAGCCATTTTCTTCATCATTCAAATATCTGAATATTTTATTTTCTGAGTACTTGGCATCAAATTCTCTTTGACTACAACTTCTTTGGTTTTATTTCATTTAGACAACTTTTTCTTCTTTTTGGGGTGAATATTGGACAGTGATATCCATGATTAACGTACACTAAGGCAAACATAGAAGCTGGCCTGGCCACTGTGTAAATTGGGTTCCCATTAGCTATGACCCAATTCATATGCTTTTAGTTTGTGCAACCATCACAATTACTACATCAATCATTCAGTTCTAACCTTTAAAAAGAAGAAGAATTGTTCTAAACTGCCAGATGGGAATTATGTGCCTTCCCAAATTCCTTAAACTTACCATGAATTAAAACTATTTTAAATTACTATGAGGAAATGCTAAGAAATTTTTTTTTTTTTTTTTTTTTTTTAACTTATAGGAAGAGGAGAGCAAAGAACATAACATTCAAGCCAGTAAAGAATTCAGTGCAATTTATCAAGTTGTAAAATAACATAACATTTTTCAATGTAGCCTTTGACGTCTGCTTTCACCTAAGGCTAAATTTTTTTTTAAAGGAATCCCCATAAAGCCAAAAATGCAGGAATATATATATAATTTTCTCTTGCACAAGAAAAAGATCACTTTGGCTAAAGAAAGACGCTAAAATGATGTTCCACAAAAGGACAAGAGAAAGGAACAGCTGGACCCATGAAGCCAGAGAGGGTCTACCATCCAAGATAAAATAGAGACCCAACAAAAACCAAAAGTAACCAATTTAAACACACTATCTTTTGTTCTATTTTGATACATTCTCCTTTTCCTACAAAACCAAATGCATACATGTAAGTTTATATCTTTTAAGATTCTCAGCAACCAACTCACCAGGAAAAATTAAAAGTTGCACACAAGATAAAAAAGAAAATATATATTAACCAAAAAAAAAAAAAGTTCTTCGTCATATATATATATATATATATATATATATATATATATATATATTTGTGTTTGGCTTTATCATTTGTTTAGAGAACCGGCCCCAACAGAATAGAAGAGAAAATACCAAGTAGTGATAACTCAGTTAGTAGCAAGGGAGTTGAGTAAGTAAAAAAAAAAAGCTTCGGTTCGATCTCAACATACCACCTTTGGGAGAGGTTTAAATATCTTCATCCCTAATCCGCCACAAACTCCGGATTAGTCACATAACTGACTCAAAGAGTCGAAGTTAATGAGAATACCAGGCCTCAAAGAAATAATTAAGGTGGAATTAACTCAAAAAGAAAAATAGAGGAGAATATGTTTCTCTACTCCTATTAAGGGAAGTACTTAGCTAATAAAATGCAGAACCTTCTATTTTATTCCAAATAAATAAATAATTTTTTGAAGTTTACCAGCTTCATTTGTTGGATATTGGAAGCATCCATTAATATATAGAAAAGAATAAAAAGTATTGCCAATGCCAGAGAACTTGATTGGAGACATTCACCTTCATCTGTTTTTCCTAGCTGTGACATTAGTTTCCATCCCTTCACATCTACATTAATTTCCATACAAAAAGCAATGCACGTTAACAACTTTTAAGGCACCCACTACCACTAACTATAGAGTTTGGTCAAAGCGTAGGTCCCTTAGAAAGTGCAGAATCTATTTTCCACTGTTTGCATTTGCTAAACTATCAATGACATAATTAACATGTCCTTTAAAATGTCGAATTTGCATTACTTATTTTCATGACAACACGAGTTAGATTATGGGTGATCCAAGTTGATTATTCACATTATTATTTGATCATCTTTAAATATATTTTTTAACTACTTCCGGTTACATACAGATGCCAAAAAAAAAAAAAAAACTTTCGAATGAATAATTTGTTTAAAAAAAAAAAAAAACCTTGATTAAAAACAGTGAATCAAGCCGTCATGCAGGAGAAGCTATAAAAGATAACCCCAAACTAAAAATAAACATTAAAAACCAAGATATAAACAACAACAGGACAAGCATTGACTTGGTTTCTGATAAAGCTAGATTGAACACTCTATTTACAACTCAAGTCAAAAACAAAAGAACAAAAAAAGAGAAACATGTATGAAAACTATAATGACTGTGTTCCACTTAAGTCATCCTGAAATATTTATGGACATAAAGAGCATCTAAGTTCCACGAGAAGAAAGAAACTAGATAAATATCACACAGAAGCAAGGGCTACTTGATACATTTGAGCTATCAGGAATGAACCTGCTGCTAATTCCTAACCATTTTAGTTGAAGTTAGGTGATGGTGCAAGGGAGTGTTCAACAGTTTAGCATGGCTCACGTTTTGGTTCTGATGCAAAGGAGTGCTCAACAATCCCACATCCTCAGTGACACGAAATACAGTAACTTGAAGCACTACATCCTTCCCTCTAAGAAGCTCAAACACACATACATCACCTTCTCCTAAATTGTTCTCTAACGAAAATTCAAACCATCCCTGGCTTAACTTAGCTCTACCTCCTCTATAAAGACAGCGAACAGGCCATTGTCTCCCATCAGAGATTTGAAGTTTTATAAATCCTGAAACCCCATTCAAATGCTTTTCTGCAAAGCAAGATGGCAAATACTGAAAAGCAGAAAGATGAGTTTAGCATGCAACTTGAACTTGTTAAAGAAGAATAAAAATGTATATCACCTTGAATTAAAAGGCTCACCATTATGCACCCTCTATATAAATAGGAGGGCCGCAGGACAACCCGGCAGAAAGGATTAGATGGTTCAAATGCTTTTGCGGCATTGATGGCCCTTTCTCTTTCCTCTGCTGTCACAGTTCTTTTTCTTGCAGAAGCACTTTCATAAAATCTAAGGCGCATTTCTGCCTCCTCTTCATGTTCAGCAGAGGGTTCATGGCCATCTGTACTTCCACACATAGCATTGATCATAAAATTCAAATTTGAAGTAACCATATTTATAAAGAAAACTGAGTAATAAGAGCTTAGTAATACCTGATTTCCGCTTCTTTCTTACAGTTTTTTTAACCCTTTCCTCGATAGATGTGCGCAACTTCAATTCTTCAGTAGACCTTTTAAACTCAACTGCATTAAACTGAACACCTATATCTCTTGTCAACTGATTGTCTAATGAATTGGCACTTCTTGAAGAAAGGGCATTCCCATCCTCTCCCCAATTTATGCTATTAAGTTTTGATCCGTTAAAGAGATTATGCAATGCTGGAGGCGTATAACTCTTGGCAGGTGTTAATTTATCTACTGATCCAGGAAAAACTTTGTTTTGCAATGTACCAGGAGTAATGCGGGAAGGTGACAAATCCAAGATTTCAATGGAATCTTCATCTTCCATTTCTTCAAAAATTTTAAGACGATTTGCAAAGTAAGGCCCTTCATTACTGTTTCGTACTGCTGATTGATAGTTCACCTCAGAAGAAGCCAAATTAAAAATATGAACATTGAAAGATGATTTTCCTTCATATCTGAATACCAACAAGTATCCAACACCAATGGCATAGCGCTGAACAAATTCTTGCCAACCATCATGGAAACAAAATTTGTTGTCTGCCTTTTTTAATCCTACACGCCAGATACTACCATCAGGAACAGAGAGGGTAGCAACTGGAGAAAGCTCACCCCCATATTTCCTCATAAAGTTATCCGGAATCCTCTGCAATTCACAAATCAAGTTAGGTTCCAAATAATGGTAAATGCTTGCAATACAAGACTGCAGAAGGAGCTTTCCACCATGATGATAATGTTTTTAACTCTAAGAACCAAACTTTAATTGATGAAGATAATAGGCTGACCGTAGCCCTTCTTAAAATGCCCACTGCTCACCCACAAGAAACATAATGCAGCGATTATATTATAAGTAAACATGGTTTTAACATGTGTACAAAAACTGCAACTAGGATTTATCTTGCATTTATCCCTAACAAGATCCAAAACTAGACTAATTCTCAAAAGTCATTGGAGCACCATAACAACAAAAAATAAGACAAATACCTGTGGTATCCCAGTGTTTAATAGAGAGAGAGAACCCTCAACTCAAGGCAACTTTGGATAAACATCACAATGCTTCACTAATGAGTTATCAAATTGATGACCTCACATATGGAGATATACAAAAACATTTATTCACTTCAAAAGTGCAATATTCTATGCTTTTGAATTTGTTTTAACAAGTCCAGCTTAAGTATGCCAACTTCAGAATAATGGAACTTTCCAAATCCACTACAACACTTAACCTAATGTGAACAGTGAAGCTCAAATGCCAAATACAGAGATAGACTCAATAAAGATTACATCGGTTGATATTAATTATAACAATATAATTGCATTGAATAGATATGGGTTTACTTCAAGTACTTCCTCCATCAGAATCTTAATTTCTACAAAAAGAAGAAGAAGGAATCAGGCAATTTTATGGGAGGTTTTTCAACTAGGAACATGGAGAAAACTGAATAGTTTATATGAGTACACACACGCTGGTAAAAAAAAAAAAAGACATAAAATTAGCCAACCACACTTTATTGACTTTAAGTTCAGGACTAATTTGAGCTCAGTCAACCCAAGGAAGTATCTCTTCTGAAATCCTAAGACCTTGACCCCAATAGAAATTTTCTGATTTTTCTTCATATCCACTCAAAGCATGACTGTCATGAAATAAACATAACAAAACCCAGGAGTTCAGGATCAGAACTCAGGACTCCACCAAAGAGACATTCTTAGAAGTTAGAAGCAATTTTTTTTCCAATAAAAAATCTTTTGAGACGAACCATGATCACCCACACTTTCCCTCCCAACCTTAGCAGAATAAAGGAGTACAAAAACTTGATGAAAGAGTGACAAGGTTTAAGGGTGGTGGGGTGAAGAAAAAGAAAACCCATAAACATTCTCTACTTTTTTCTTTCACTCTTATTCAAATTTCTGATAAACCCAAGAATTTCAACTCAAAAAAAGTATAAAAAATTCAAGTGTAAAACCAAAAAAAAAAAAAAAAAAATTGCAAAGAAAAAGATATATTGAAAGAGAAAAGGGGGAGAAAATTAAGGTACCAGTTGCCTGGCTTGGAGAGTAGAGGGAAGAACAAGCTTGTGGAAGGAATGATGCGGCATTTTCTGAATGTGTCAGGAGACAGTTAAACCAAACCTTAAATCATTTGATATCCCTTTGATTCAAAGATGAAAACTTTGGGCACTAGCTACTTGAATTTCTTCACCTTTCAGATCTACTTCACCATCACAACCTCACTCCCTATTCTCCAGTCCCCACCCTATACAACCTTCTCTGCTTTTTGAGTCAAACAATGGTTTTTAAAACCTTAATTAAAAAAAAAAAAAAAAAACCTCAACTTGTCCGAAATCTTATTAAAAAGTTAACGAGTTAATGACTCGGTGAGTCACTTCAAACTCAAAGGCTTTCCCAGTTTGGATTTTCCCAGCAACTTTCTCTTTGCAATTCTAAAACCCATTTGTTTTGTTAGCCTTTGGAGTTTGGAAATGGAAACAGAGCGAGTTATTTGCTTTTTGGTCCCTGTACTTTTCATTATTTCTGGTTTTGTGCGTTACTAATAGCAGAAACAATTAAAAGCTAACGGACACCTCCATTTATAGCAGCCTTCCCTATAAATGAAAAAACGACAATGCGTTGCCCGACCCAGGTGAGGTAATGTCATGAATGGAAAGCGCATGATTTTTTTAACCACATTGAATATCTTACGTGGGATTCCTTCATCAATGCTAAGCCCAAGTTCATTGAGAGATTTCATATTACTTGTGTTGTTTTCATTGCCAAGAAAAATCTGAAATTGGGAGCATCACGTTTTGTATCTGAGTTGGCCTGATAATGAGTGCACTAAAAGCTAAATTGGGTTATATTAGACTATTTCAGTAGTTTGATAATATTCATGTCAGCAATGCTTTAAGTCTGATTGATGATCATTGGAATTCAAATGTTGAAATTACAGGCCATGCTTATGATATTCTGTGTAAGTATGTAATAATTTTTTTTTTAGCATACTCTATTGATACAGTGCACTTCTATTTTGGATAAGTATTCTGATGATCAAAGATACCAAAAGAACCATTGTGGAAAATAATTCTGGGAATTTCATGACTGCTTTTCATTGTTAAATCCTGACATGCATGAGTTTCCTTGTTTTTGAGTTACTTTTCTGAGTGCAGGGAAAGAAAGGCAAGCAGATCACCACAAAAGGAACTAGTTCTGGCAAGAAAACTGGAGCAAGTCGTGTTGCTGGCACAAAAAGGGCTCGGACCTCTTCTTCATCTGTTTTTGATAGTATCAGGTTCTTATCACATGAGGCTCAAGACAGGTTTTACAAATGGTTTGGCCCCAAGAAAATCATACCAGAAAGGCAAATCAGTTCCTTCCTACATGATGATTGCCCAGTGAAACGAACAGTGAAGAGGAGAAAATGGGGGAATTTAGTGGGATTTGCTGCACCAAGCTCCAGCACAATTCTGAAAGAATTTTGTGCCAATGCTGACCAAGAGACAGTGGATGAAACTAGGAAGAGCTGGGTGAGAGGACATGAGATCTCTTTCTCCTCTGAAGCAATAGAGCAATTCCTGGGGACCACATATGACCGTAGCAAGCCCTGCCACTCTATACAGACATTTAATAGATTGCAACCTACTGCTGAAAAAGATCTGTACTGGGAAGACATGCCTGAAATTGCAGAGAGAGTCCGAGCTGCTATCACTCATCCTCATTCTAAGTGGAAATCAAAGAGTGGGCAGCCACAAGTGCCAGAAAAGTTGAAAAGGGAGGATCTAACTCCAGAAGCAATGTTCTGGCACACTTTCATCAATTCCACAATCATTGCATCTACTAATTTAAGTGATGTCAATGTTGAGAGAGCAGTGCTGTTATATACCCTTATGGGTACAGAAAATCTCCATATTGCTGATACTTTGTCTGACAGAATAGTATACATCATCACTCAGAAGAAGGCTGAGATCCACCTTGCTCACAGTTCTTTGATACAGAAGCTCTGTCAAGCGGCTGGAGTGGAGATTCCTGATGATGAGCCCCGTGATGTGCAGGTTAAAACAGAGCTCACACAGACAAATTTTGCTACTATGAGCGCAAAATCTAGTCGGAATGCTCTTTGGAAGGCAGCCCGTGCAGCAGGTGGAGCACCTCCAGCATCACCACCTGCACCTGAGCATGATGAAGAACCCGTAGCTGCACCTCCTGCAGATTCCCTTATGCTTCAGATACAAGAGATGAGGATCGAGCAGAGGTACCTGAGGGAGATGATGGAGAGGCTATGCAGTGATCGCGGGATTGACACTGCGAGTTTCAGACCACAGTTTCAACCACCTCCATCTCCAGCAGAGGCAACATCACAGGCCGTTCCGGATGATGTTGTTGCTGATGATGAGGATGATGATGCTGCTATGGAGGACTGCTGATGATTATGCACTTAATTACTTTCCGACTAGTATAGTTGTTGCTGAGGACAGCAACATTCTAATCTGAGAATTTTCGCATGGCATGCTGTATGCGAGACCTGTTAAGAACTGCAGAACTACACCACAGAAAGAACGGTCTAAACAGAAAATTTTCTAAAAAAGGGAGATATTTTAACCTTCAATTTTTATTTTTATTTTTTATTTTATTTGCTGTTTTGAGTTAGATTCAATTTTTATTTTTATTTTAAGAAAAGAAAAAAAATAAAATTTAGATTATTCCTAAACAAGCAGTTCCAGAATGTTCTGAGCTTACTCAGTAAGTAATTAGATTGAGTTGGATGAAGCATTATAACTGTGAGCAATTACTTGTTTTAATCTGAGAATGATGACTACTCGTTTTTATAACTGTTTTGCTAAAATGTTTGATAATGCTTGATGTGAAACAATGAATTGAGATTCTAGTTTGGATTTTAACTGTGAGGATTTGAGCCTAAACGGAATTTTATTTTAGAGAGGCCTCACTGTAGTAGATTCTAGAACTTGAACTGTTTCTTTGGCTTGTCATGCATAACTAAAATGATAAGGGCATTTTTATTCTTATTAACTTAGAGCCAAATAGCCTACCCATAAGAATTTCCATTGTTAAGCCCCTTTGAGCCTTAAACCAGTTCATTTCAACCTGATGAAAATTACTTAATCCTGTTCTTCTTGACACACCTTGAGAGATTGAACGCTGAACAAAAGAAGAAAAATCAAAGTACTTCTCAAAAGGAAAAGTTAAGTAGTGGAACAAGGAAAAGAAAAAGGATTGCAGCTCAAAAGAGAAAAGAAAGAAAACATCTGCAAACAAGGAAAGAAAAAGGTAGCAAATGAAGGAAAAGAATCCCAAGTTTGTAAAATGAGGCATAATGAAGAAGAGAAGGAAGTATTGTTAAAATCAGTATTTCAATCTTTCCAATAAAGCTTCCGACCAAATGATTCTCACCCCCAAACCAGGCCAAGTTACAACCTATCAAAGACCTTTTGATCAGTCTGTGCATGACAAATGGATTCCTCATTCTTAGGAATTGAGAATAAGTTCAAGTCTATGGAATTTATAATAGCCCATCTTAATTAATTAGTAAATCAAGTGTAATTAATTAATTAAACATGTTTTAGTGAGTGAAATTAAGTATAAGGCTTAATTAAATGAATCTGAGTCACTTTGGAGTTAGAAAGTGTACTCAGTGAAAATTAAGGGGTATAAATGGGTACTGGTGAAAGTGCCCAAAATATAAAAATAAAAATAGTAATATTCCTAGAATAATATTCCAGACTTTTGGGTAAAGTTTGGTAATTATTGGAGTTGAATAGATAGACGAACCAATACCCGCTTAAAGTCACTTAACCTATGTTAAGTGACTAAAAGCCAAATGAGCCCCATTTCCCACCCCCATTTCGTCGAGCAGCCAGAGAAGGAGAAAGAAGGAGAAAGAGGAAGAAGGAGAAGGGAGGAAGAGAAAAGGGAGAGAGAGCAAATCTCAACCAAATTCATCCGTTCAAAAGCTTAAACCACTTAGATTCTTCCCCTCTTTCATAATCCTAGCTTTGTTTTGAGTGGGGAGCATTGTGGAGAGAGATATTACCTCTCAAAAATTCGGCCCTTTGGTGAAAATTGGGGTTTTGAGAGTTTCTACCTCCATTGAAGCTTGAGGAGCCATCAATCCTTGGTTGTGTGACCATTGGTGGTAAGATTCTAACCCTTGAACCTCATGATTCCTTGAAATTTGCATGAGTTAGGGTTTGTGAATAGTAAATTGGGATTTTTATGAAATGTAGTTGAATTAGCTATGTTCTAGGAAGAATGGAGCTTAAAGCATGTTATGGAAAATGCTAGGAATGTCATTTAATCGGTGGAAATGAGCCTAGATAGTCATTTGATAATTGTTCATAATATTGGAAAATTCATGCTTGGATTGGTTAGTATTCTAGCATGTTGAACAATTAGTGAGTTGAATGATTGATTGGATCCTTGTGATGTCTAGGATTGAGACATTTGGACCAACCGTGAGTGATCAACCATTGGAGCAAGCTATGGAGCTTGAATAGCTCATTGGAATTGGTAAGCTCATACTTGTGTTGTGCTTTGAATTGAGTAATTGATGGTTGATTGTGAAATACTCTTGGATGCAATGTGTTGATTGCATTACACCATGTGTAGGTGTATGTTTGTAAAAGTTGATTGCTGAAACTGTTGGTGAAGAACAAAGGTTGACTGAAGCATTGAGGTAAGCCTTCGGACCTTGGGTGTAATTCCCTTGACTGTTCTACCAAGCCCTGAAAGGGTGGAGGTTGTGATTGTGTATATAAATGCAATAAAATAGTGTAATGCTTTGTTATACGTATGTGTATGCATTTGGTGTGGCATAGGATGGTGTTTCCCTATGTGGGTATGTTGCATGACGATGCGTAAATCATACATGGTAGTTAGCTGGCCAGTAGGACTATTTGCATCTGAGTTTCCTTAGGACAGCTTGGGAGCTCGAGGGATTTCTCCTGGAGATGTAGTGCACTTTGCATAGATATGTATTTACTGCATTATTATTGTTATTGCTATTACACTGATATGGAACTGTGGGGTGGAGAGATGCTCCAAGGACCCCTGGTTTACTGGATATATTCGTATATCTCACCCCGTGTTGTGGGGACCCCCTTTCAGGTAAGGATGCTGCAGGAGCCTCTGGTGGCAAGTGGCCATATCTGGATTATGCATGAAATATGGCATTTCTTTGAGTTTATGCATGCCTTTTGTAGTTGACATGTATAGGATTTTATTTTGAAAGCCCATGATCATTTGTATATCTTGATTCATTGGATGAACTTAGCCTATGCTCATGCCTTTGGTTACACCTTTTGTTGATGGGAGCCAAGGGAATGATCATAGTGTTTTGTAAGCTAAGTTCTATGATTTGTAAAGGATATGTAATGTAAATGATGCCTACTTGAAATTCAATATATGCATGCTTGTTATGTATTGAGTTGTTGAATTGGTTGGGCTGAAAATCAATTAGGTACCCTTTTGTTTAAACTGGTAAACAATGAGAAA